ATAAAGCAAGTTCTTAATGGCCTACAAAGAGAGTTAGACTCCCTACACAATAATAGTGGTAGACTTTAACGCTCCACTGTCAATATTAGACAGATCAACGAGACCGAAAATTAACAAGGATATCCAGGACTTGAACTCAGATCTGGACCAAGCAAATCTAACAGATATTTATAGAACTCTCTACCCCAAATCCATAGAATATACATTCTTCTCAGCGCCACATCATACCTCTAAAACTGACCACATAATAGGAAGTAAATCACTCTTCAGCAAATGCAAAAGAAGGGAAATCATAACAGTCTTTCAGACCACAGTGCAATCAAATTAGAACTTAGGATTAATAAACTAACTCAGAACTGCACAACTTCATGGAAACCAAACAATTGGCTCTTGAATGTGGACTGGATAAACAATGAAATGAAGGCAGAAATAAAGATGTTGAAAACCAACGAGAATGAAGACACAACATACCAGAATCTCTGGGACACATTTAAAGCAGTATCTAGAGGAAAATTTATAGCAATAAATGCCCACAGGAGAATCAAGGAAAGATCTAAAATCGACACCCTGTCATCAAAATTGAAAGAGCTAGAGGTGCAAGATAAAAAAACTCAAAAGCTAGCAGAAGACAAGAAATAACTAAGATTAGAGCATAACTGAAAGAGATAGAGACACAAAAAAACCCTTTAAAAATTAATAAATCCAGGAGCTAGTTTTTTGATAAGATTGACAAAATAGATGGACCACTAGCCAGATTAATTTAAAAAAGAGAGAAGAATCAAATAGATGCAATAAAAAACAATAAAGGGGATATCACCACCAATTCCACAGAAATACAAACTACCATCAGAAATTACTACAAACAACTCTATGCCTATAAACCAGTAAACTTAGAAGAAATGGATAAATTCCTGGACACTTGCACCCTCCCAGGCCTAAACCAGGAAGAAGTAAAAACCTGAATAGACCAATAGCAAGGTCTGAAGTTGAGGTAGCAATTAATAGCCTACCAACAAAAAAAAAGCCCAGGTCCAGATGGGTTCACAGCTGAATTCTACCAGACATACAAAGAGGAGCTAGTACCACTCCTTCTGAAATTATTCCAAACAATTCAAAAAGAAGGAATCCTTCCCAAATCATTTTATGAGACCAACATCATCCTGATACCAAAACCCGGCAGAGACTTAGCACGAAAAGAAAACTTCAGGCCAATAACCATGATGAACATAGAAGCAAAAATCTTCAATAAAATACTGGCAAACTGATTGTAACAGCACATCAAAAAGCTTATGCACCATGTTCAAGTAGACTTCATCCCGGGGATGCAAGTCTGGTTCAACATACTCAAATCTATAAACGTAATTCACCACATAAACAGAACCAAAGACAAAAACCACATGATCATCTCAATAGGTGCAGGGAAGGCCTTCAACAAAATTCAGCAGCCCTTAATGTAAAAACTCTGAATACACTAGGTATCAATGGAACATATCTCAAAATAATAAAAGCTATTTATGACAAACCCACAGCCAATATCACACTGAATGGGCAAAACTGAAAACATTCTCTTTGAAATCTAGCGCTAGACAAGGATGCCCTCTCTCACCACTCCTCCTATTCAATAGAGTATTGGAAGTTCTAACCAGAGCAATCAGGCGAGAAAAAGAAATAAAGGATATTTAAATAGGAAAGGAGGAAGTCATACTGTCTCTGTTTGCAGACAATGTGATTGTGTATTTAGAAGATCCCATCATCTCAGCCCAAAATCTCCTTACTGATAAGTTTCTTCAGCAAAGTCTCAGGATACGAAATCAATGTGCAGAAATCACAAGCATTCCTATACACCGATAACAGACAAACAGAGAGCCAAATCAAGAATGAACTGTCATTTACAATTGCTACAAAGAGAATCAAATACCTAGGAATACAACTAACAAAGGATGTAAAGGGTCTCTTCAAGGAGAACTATGAACCACTGCTCAAGGAAATAGAGGACACAAACAGATGGAAAAACATTCCATGCTTATGGTTAGGAAGAATCAATACTGTGAAAATGTCCATACTGCCCAAAGTAATTTATAGATTCAACACTATCCCCATCAAGCTACCCATGACAGCCTCTTCACAGAACTGGAAAAAACCATCTTAAACTTCATATGGAACCAAAAGGGAGCCCGCATAGCCAAGTCAGTTCTAAGCAAAAAGAACAAAGCTGGAGGCATCACACTACCTGACTTCAAACTGTACTACAAGGTTACAGTAATCAAAACAGCATGGTACTGGTGCCAAAACAGAGATATAGACCAATGGAACAGAACAGAGGCCTCGGAGGCAATGCCACACATCTACAACCATCTGATCTTTGACAAACCTAACAAAAACAAGCAATGGGGAAAGGATTCCCTGTTTAATAAATGGTGTTGGGAAAGCTGGCTAGCCATGTGCAGAAAGCAGAAACTGGATCCTTTCCTGACACCTTACACTAAAATTAACTCCAGATGGATTAAAGACTTAAACATAAGACCTTACGCCATAAAAACCCTAGAAGAAAATCTAGGCAAAACCATTCAGGACATAAGCATAGGCAAGGACTTCATGTCTAAAATACCAAAAGCATTGACAACAAAAGCCAAAATAGACAAATGGGATCTAATTAAACTCCACAGCTTCTACACAGCAAAAGAAACAATCATTAGAGTGAAGCAGCCACCAACAGAACGGGAAAAAGTTTTTGCAATCTACCCATCTGACAAAGGGCCAATATCCAGAATCTACAAAGAACTAAAACATAGAAAACACAGTATAAAAATCTGTACTTAATTATAATCCTAAGACCCTAATGCATATCTACTATTAAAATTCATTGTAAATTTTGTTTTCATTTTTATTGCTTCTTAAAACTATCTTTCATTTTAGGCAAAATGTAAATCAGAAATACAAATACAATGGCTTATCAATAAAACTATCTAATACCCATCTATCTGTATTGTTTCTACAATAATGAAAGCCACTAAGTCACCTGCATTTCTAAGGGACAATGCTGAGGAGAAAAATATAATTTTTTTTGCAATATGAATAGCCCAGCCACCTATAGCCAGGAATAACCCAAACAGGCTTACAGGCATGCTGATGGGAAGGCGACTCTTTGTGGTATCTATAAAGCAAAAGAGTTTTTAAAAAACAACTTCCAAATCCTAAAGTTCAACCCCATTACTAAGGGATTTCTATAAAATATAGACTATATATTATAAACAAATATAAACTGTTTTGAAAAGCTTCAAATCTTTATCAAAATATGCCATAAGACAGGAGCTGTAAACTCAAATCTTACCAAGGCAAAGGAAGTGACCTGAGTGAAGCACCTAGGTGGGCGCAGCAGCAAACCAGAGAACATATACCTCCTACGAAGGGGAACCTAGTCACAGCACACCCAACAGTGACAAGGGCTCAACCTGGTCGTAGCACACCGATCAGTGACATGGGCTCAAGGGACAACAGGCTTGATTCTTAAAGAGAAGCCTGAAATCCAGATTTGTGCACGAGTCTCCTAAATTTTACACATTGACACAATTTGTGGAGGCAAATTAAACATATCTGCGGGCCACATTTAGACTACAGCCCTTGTGTTTTTATACTTGTTATAGATGTGTTTCAAAATGGTTGTGTGTAAAGTAAGTATTTGCATGTAAAATATTTCCTTTAATTTCAGATGTTTTACCAAAACAAATCAGGCCCCAACATGTAATAAAAATTGCTATTAAGACTCATAGTTGCTCACACCTGCAAGTCCAGCACTCTGGGAGGCCAAGGCAAGAGGATCACGTGAGCCCAGGAGTCTGAGACCAGCCTGAGCAACATAGTGAGACCGTGTTTCTTCAAAAAAAAAAAAAAAAAAAAGAAAAAAAATGCTCACAGGCTCAAAATACTCACACTTCAAGAATTTTTCCAATATTTATTCAATTAAAATCTACTTGTATTTATTTTTCCCAGATTGTTAACCAAATGGATAATTAGTCCACATGACTGCAAAAACTAAATTATTAAAAGAATATTTGTACTCTTACTAACTTCATGGTTTTCAGTGCTTAAAACTGCCATCTTGATTATTTCAAAACTCTGTGAACTTAACAGAGATACTGAGATAGTCCATAACAGAGCTTCAATTAAAAAAAAAAAAGGCTAAGTGTTTGTCAGCTCTAATCGAGAAAACTCTGCTTGTAATAAAGATTAATCTGCTTGCAATAAACGATAATCACCTGGATGATAACAAAGACAGAAAATCCTAAAGGAGTCAGCCTCTGCTTACTGAAAGGCTATGATGTTGGGAAGGAAAAGGTATTCTGTAAGCAGATAGATATTACCAATAATATTCCTTTTAACTTCCCAACCACAGAGGTAAAGAAAGATAAAAGTCAGAACAGTATTGAAAAGAGACAGATTTAAAGGAAGTAGCACCTATCAAACTCCAGCTCCTCTAGGGATTTCTTAAGTTTCTGAGAATGGGCATTTACATATTACACCTATCTATTCACTGGCTCTTAACCAGGGCTGTTTCTGAAGTTTCAGGAATTTACTGCTGTTGTTAGAGACAGGGTCTCACTATGTTGCCCAGGCTAGACTCAAACTCTGGGGCTCAAGCAATCCTCCCAATTCAGTCTCCCAAGTTGCAGCGACTTCAGCCAAGTACCACTACACCTGGCTTCAGGGAAATATTTTAAAACATAAACTTGTTCAGGCTTTATTACATCAAAAGTATTCAGGGAAGAGCTTAGACTTGTAGGTTTTTCTTAAATTTCCTCAGGTTACTGTGATGCACAATTCTAGCTGAGAACTAGTACAACAATTACTTCAGTCTCATCTCTCACCCAGGTGACCAGTTCCCTTTATCGTTTGAGGATTTTGTCAAAAAGAGGAAAGAATAAGAGACAGTCATTTACTAAAAACTCCATTTAGTTTTCCTGGGTAGGAGTAGCACAGGGACTAGTAAACTCAAAATCCAACTTGATTTTGCTATTTCTAAGCTCCGCATCGCCCACCTTCCCGTCAGCGCGTTCTAGATTTGAGGGCTGAGCACAGACACTTATCTAAGTGGCTGTTTCCTACTTCATCACCACCTAGTCGCAGCTGATCTTGTTTCCTCAGAGTCCTCCTAAAATGGATTCTTAGGCAAGTTCACAACTCACTCTCCTCCAAACTGAAAACGATGATCCGGTTATCCCCAAAACTGAAGAAAACCTTGTCTAAACATATAAACTAGAAAAAAAGAAACAGTAACAACAACAACAAAACACATTTAAAAAAAGGTCGCCTTGGTATTCTCCCTCAATTACCTAACTTCCAAGCTGGCCTCCATATTTCTGGTGGCTTTTTTTTCCCTTTCCATTTTGCCCTCCTAAGCTTTGCCACTGAGAGCTAAACTGCTTGCATGTGTGTTATTTTTTTTAAGAACCTGTCAATGGCAGCAAGATTTCTATTTATTGAAAAATGTTTTTTCTTGGAGTTTTAAGATAAAGTCTATTTCCAGGGCACATCTTGCTTTCTTGTGTTGTTTTTCACAGATTACGAAAAAAAAAATTGGGAAGAAAAAAAATTTTTAAGTGTTAACTTTTACAAATTCAGGTGTTTTCAAAAATATTTACCATATGTGCAGAAAAGAAAGCTGTGCCCTCTAATGCTGCTTTAAAAGTATCAAGATTTGAAATATTAATTACTTGAAAATATTCAGGGAGTGCTTGAGCTTTCAAATATGGAAAACTGACCATTACATATGCCAGTGTTAAAACAAATGCATTTCAAATAGTTTGAAAATAAAGTTGGTTGGTCTATACCTCATTTTTTGCCTCCATATTTGTACTGTATAAAAGCAGTCTTTCTGCCAGTGATTGATCCTCATTATGCACAGCATAGTGTAGAGCGGTGTGGCCGTAGATATCTGGAAGGTCTGGATCAGCACCCTGTTTCAGCAAAATAGTTGCACATTCCTCTTGTTGGCATTGTACAGCCTGTCATTATTAGACCAAGAAATAGATTACAAATGCTAGGAATTCAAAATAGAGGTTTTGCTAATGAGTTACATTTAAATGAGATGAATTCATTTTTATTCTATGTTGAGAAATGTGAAGTTTATGAATATTGATGAATGCTAAGTGTATGACAGAATATATTGTTTGCTAGGAAGAACAATGGCAAGGAAAACCTAGCAGATCCCCCCGACCCCAGTAGAAAACCACCTGGGGCATTCCAAAGTGGCAGGATAATATGTAAATATCATACACCTGTTAAAACAATTCTTTAAGCTACCTGACCCTGCCCCAGTGGCTCCCTCATGGAGAATACTTTTTAGGTTGTTTGATCAGTGGTAAGTGGGCACCAGCTGCCTACTTGGTGGTGTGTTTTATGTTATGAGAAAATACTGAACACCTGTTTGTTAATAATGATCACCTGTTCAGAGAGATTAAATGCGTGGGTCAGAGTCTACCTTGGGCCTTCAGCCTGGAATGCTGTCAGCCCCTGAGCCTCTCAGTTTGGAAGGCTGCTGGGTCCCTGGATAGACCCACTTTGCCATTCTATCTGGGTGTCTGCCTCTCCTTTCTATCAGTACTGCCTGGGTGGGAGTCTCTACGGCCGAGCTGGTACTCAGTAATTCTACGTAATCAGATCCATCTCATGCTATCTCATGCTGAAATACTTGGTTACTATATACCTTTATCAGAGCTGTCCTCTTATGGCTGTCAAAGCAATTAAGTTGACATTTTCTGTCTACCAGGGGAGCTACCACTGCTGGATATCCACTGGCACATGCCAAATGCAGAGCCGTCCTATGACAAAAAGAAGACTTTTTATGAAACTGTACTGTACTATCTGAAAACATACAATGATTCACATATATCCATAGCACTGGACAGAATGGTAGTCCTCTGTCTTTAAAACAAGTATTTAATTTTCCTGTGAAGAAAGCACAGTGTTTCCCAGCTCTTATTATTCACTACATTAATGAAATGTAGCTTATTTGAATAGAAAACGCTTTGCCTCTGGATTCAGTTCACCTCGAGCTGAACTCCTACTTTAAATCTGTCACTTCCTGTTGGCCTTTTTGGGCCTCAGTTTCCTCATCAATAAAATGGGAATTAAAATAGTAGCGGTCCACAGTGATGTTCTGGGCATCACTATGATGCTTAAAGGAGAATCTATGCAAAGCATTTAGAACAGTTCCTAGCACAAATAACTGCTCAATAACTGTAAGATATTATAATTTTTATAATACTACGCAACATAAACATTTTAAGTAAAATAATATGATTACACATACTTCTGAGGTATGTTTAAAGATTAGAAGTAACATTGTATTATGATCATTCTAAGATGTTCCTTTTCTCACATTTTAACAACTCTGAAATTGGGATTCTCCTTGTAATTCATAATTTATCACAAGTATAATTGGCAGCATCTAAATAATTCTTATTGACACATAAAATAATGGGCATCAAACAATCCACGGTGCCTTACGTTAAGTAGAATATGGTATATACAACAGGTCCAGAGCAGTTGGGCAGTTCTAATCATATGACTGGCGTTTAAGTATATTTTAGTTCTTAAAAGTACTATGGAAAAAAGAGGGCTGAGATAAAAAGCACACCAAATTTTTAAAACAAAATAATTCTTACTTTGATTTTCCACAAACTTTAAGCCAAAGGAAGAAACTCAGGGTTCAGATGAATAGGCATGGCTCATTTTGTTCAATACTTAGATTTATATAATGCATGTAAATCAGGCATTCCCAATGATTAATATCAGTATATAAGACTGTTATATATTTTCAAAAGAGCAGTTAAAGTTTACCTTTTACTATTTTCTACCTTCGTAAATGCTTTTCTTTGAAAGGGGGGAGAAAAAGCTTCCACTGAGATTAAGTCCTTAATACTCCAATTTTAAATCTCTCAGGCTTACTCAGGCTGGGCAGCTAAACACGAAGTTTTTAAGGATGGAAGAAACCTGAGCGATATAACATATATAATAGCTCTTCAGCTTGTGTTTGACGAATACATTGATTAAATGGATAAACATAGTTGAGAAGTGCAATATTTTTAAAGAAAACTCCTGTAAAGTAGAGCAGCACTTTGCAATAGTAGTAACCATTTATATTTGCTCCTGGCTCACGGAGAGGCCTGGGCCCCCGACCCCTCCGAGGTTTCCCCATCCCGGGTACCGCGGTGCCTGTGGGCACCAGAAAGCCGGGGTCCCCGACAGGACGGTGCGCCCGCCTCCTTCGCCCGGCCATTACCTGTTCTTCTTGTCCCTCTTGTCCACGCCAGGGCCTCCGGGCACCAGGACGCGCTCCACCCCGGGGACGTCGCCCCGCCAGGCAGCTCTGTGGAGCTCGTCGGGATCTTCCTGGTGGACGCGGTTCCGAGGCGGGGCGAAGGGGCTTCCGCCGCGCGGGCTGTCGCGCCGCCAGCTGGTGAGGGAGCCCCGAGGACCATTGGTCCTCGGGGCTCCCGCCTCTAAATGTCTTCCTCACCCATTCGGAGACTGCCCTCTTCGGAGACCCCTCAGCACCTCCTCGCTCTTCCCCGCCCCTCCCCGCTTTTCTCCACCCCAGGAGGCCAACGGTAGCGAGTTACTGCCTTGGCCACAACCTCCCAGCAGCAAAGCCCGAGGTTTCCAGTCAGTGAAAGGAGCACCGCCAAGCCAACTAAGAATTGTCAGGCCAAGCGACCACCGCCAAGCCAAGTAAATGTCAAGCCAAGCGACCACCGCCAAGCCAGCGCGTGTGACGTCACCACACTTGCTCAGGCACCTGTGACGTCACTGCCCCTGCGCGCACAGGCTTCCGCCTCCCGGAGAAAACTGCTTGGCCTACAGGTGGCGCTGCAGCTCCGGCGCCGGCCAGGGCTGGCGGGTCCTTCGTGGTGGCGGCGTCCAGCCTGCCTGTCCTCAGGGTGTGCCTCCTCACAGCGCTGCCGCGCACCTGCTCCTCTGCTTGCTCAGTTCAGGCGTGCGGACCAGTTCCCGCCCCTCTGCCGCCATCGCTTGGCCGCCCCGGGCTAGCCACCGCAGCGGAGTTGCCCGAGTCATCGCTGCCAGGACACAAGCGGAGTCAGGCGGCTGGGTCAAAGCGAGCTGCCCGCCCCGCGGGAAGGGCCTGCTCGACGCCACGGCCCGCCCAGCTCCTACTTGGCTGGCGCCCAAGCCAGGGGACCAGTTCTGGGCATTCCGCTGCCTGGGGATGGGGCCGAGCAGCCGCTCCGCGCTCTGAGTCGCAGCGGCCGCGCGCATCTGCCCAGGGGCCCTGCCGCTGGCAACCCGGTTGGGTTGGGGAATGCCAGGTGCCGCTGGGGTCGCTCGCCTCTAGTCCGTCCTGTCCCTGCAGCCCGCGAGCACTAGCGTCGGTCGGGCGCGGTGGCTCACACCTGTAATCCCAGCACTTTGGGAGGCCGAGGTGGGCGGATCACTTGAGGTTAGGAGTTCGAGGCCAGCCTGTCCAACAAGGTGAAACCCCGACTCTACTAAAAATAGAAATATTAGTTGGGCATGGCTCACCTGTAATCCTAGCTACTTGGGAGGCTTAGACAGGAGAATCGCTTCAACCCAGTAGGCGGGAGTCACAGTGAGCCAAGATTGCACCACTGCACTTCAGCCTGGGCGACAGAGCAAGACTTCCTCTCAAAGAAAAGTGACAAAGGAGACTCTAGAAAGTACTTAAATACTAATTCTTGAGGACAGTGAAGATAGATCGTATTATAAAAAACAGATTTTGTCACTGACGCCTCGGGGCATTAGCCTAGGTCCTGCTTTGCTCACCCACAGAGAGCCAATTACAGGGATGAATATTGCCAGAGAAGAAGGCTTTAATCGGGTGCTGCAGCCGTGGAGATGGGAGCTTAGTCTCAAATCCATCTCTGACCAACTAAAATTAAGGATTTGTAGTATAGCAAGGAAGAAATGTAATTATGTATAAGAAAACATGAACTAGGGAGGAGTAAGGAAGCAATCATTTAAAAAACTATCTTCACCTTGCCTCCTCAGTCTTGGCATAATTCCCCCTGCAAGTGGTTTCCAGGGTCTCAGTTGGCATTTAGTCACACGTATGACATTGCTCATATTGTGTGCACATCTGCACAGCTCAGCAGCATCCTGGGTAGGCCTTGAAAGGCAATCTTCACATGAGCCTGTGGCCTCAGCAAGAAAGCTGGGAACAGGAAGGGGAAGAGCCAGGAGCCCAGTCCTCTGCAGAAAATTCCAGCACAACCCGAAAGAGCAGCTGCAGTGAAGACTGTGACCCAACAAGGAATACATGGATGAAGATGCTGGTTTGAAAACAGACTCAGTGTAAGCATGGCACTTTGAGAAAATATTAATGATAAATGTCGCCAAGGGAAAAAAATCATCAGACAGAAACAAAATATATTTATTAGAAATATTAGTCATTTATCATACACTTTCCTGTGAATAAAGACATCGAATAAGCATGTCATATCCTAACAGTGCGGGTTACAATCTAGTGTGCTCTTTATAGACAGGAGGCCACAGATGTATCAACTGCATTCAACTAATGTAGTTAAAATTAGTATGCTACTTAGGATGCTACAGATTTAGCAAAACTCTAACCTGGGTTAGAGGAGTGAAATGCCCAGTGGCATTGGTAGCAATAAGAAATGCTTCTAAAAGGGCTGTCAGGTTATATCCTTCACTGCATGTCACTGGTAGGTCATCTCAAAATGGCACTCGAGCTTTGGAAGGGTGAGAACTATTGCTGGATTTGGCAGGGGTTCTGCATCTAGGGGCCTGAGTCCTCCATCTCCACAAGCTGCCCCTCAGTGGGGAAGAGGAGGTGGAGACTAAGGGAGTCTCTGTGGGCAGCAGGAAAGAGAACATGGGAGAGATTCCTCACCACTGGGTGGCTTGCCCCTGGGGATGTGTGTTTTTGTCCAACACCCACCAGCATCTACTTGGGTCGGTCTCTACAAAAGTTGTAAAACAACAACTGAATGAAAAAGGGAAACAAAGGACTAATATTGTTTTTGAAATGAGAAGGGCTAGGACAAGAGAAGTTCCTGAGGATGTTACCCCCACAAGGCGGGGACCATGGGCTACAATCAGACAGGAAAAATTCAATCCATGTTCAATGCAGAGAACAGCAACTTCTCGCCTTGAAAAACTCCCCCACTCTACTGGAGCTTGCATTTTGCAGATGTCTTTTCATGTAAAATTTACACATTAAAAAAAGAATCTGCAGAACAACCAAAGAATTTTAAATGACTATGTACTGGCTGAGGAAAGAGGGAAAGAAACGTGGTTGTTGTGGCCTCTGAAAGTCTCAGGAGAGAAACTGGGAATGGCATACTCTGCTAAAGAAAATGTAAGATGCTCACCTTGTTTTCCCAGTTTATCAACTTTCCACCTTCACCTGGTGCTCTAAGCTCTGTTAAAAACAGACCTAAAAACCCTACCCCTTGGCCTAGCTGTGGTGGGACTGCCTCCCCCAGGTCCTGCACCTTCATGCCGGCCAATGGCTTGGGGGAGCCTACTTGCTGCTGTGCTAGAAGGCCTATTCCTCAAGTCCTGAGGCCATCAGTCACAGCTCCAGGACCCCAGCAGAACCTGCCCTTCCCCTAAACACCATGTGTATTTCTTTTCTGTGTGTGACAGGGTCTCGCTTTTTTTCCCAGGCCAGAGTACAGTGGCACAACACAGCTTACTGCAGCCTCCAAGTCCTGGGCTCAGTGATGCTCCTGCCTCAGCCTCCCAAGCAGCTGAGACTGCTTGGTATGTATCATTGTACTCAACTAATTTTTAAAAAAAATTTTGGGCCAGGCACAGTACCTGTAATCCTAGCACTTTGGGAGGCTGAGGCAGGCAGATCACTTGAGGTCAGGAGTCCAAGACCAGCCTGGCCAACATAGTGAAACCCTGTTTCTACTAAAAATACAAAATTTGCCAGGCTTGGTGGCATGCGCCTGTAATCCCAGCTACTCAGGAGGCTGAGGCAGGAGAATTGCTTGAACTTGGGAGGCGGAGGTTGCAGTGAGCCGCGATCACACCACTGCACTACAGCCTGGGCGATGGAGTGAGATGCTTTCTAAAAAAAAAAAAAAATTTTTTTTTTTTTTATAGAGTCAGAGTCTTGTCATGTTGCCCAGGCTGGTCTCAAAATCCTGGGCTCAAGCAGTTCTCCCACCTCAGCCTCCCAAAGTGCTGAGATTACAGGCATGAGCCACTATGCCTAACCACCATGTGTATTTCTGTGGACAGAACATGGCATTCCTCTTTTACATGCACACTCATTGGCAGAGAAAATGGTAGTTGGGGAATCTCCTTAAATTACAAAAATAAATTGCACATGGCCTTTCATGTTTCTTTCCTTTTTTTTAATCTAAAGAGCAGGATACAGACAAAAATGTGAAGTTTGGCCACAGTGATTGGCAACTTGGGATCCCATGGGAGAGGGGCTGGTATGGTCCCAGTGTGGAGGGAGGGAAACCACAACACCATTGCCCAAAGTTGGTTCTAGATGGTTTATGTAATCACTCATAACAGAGCCAATCACAGGCCAGGTGCGGTGACTCATACCTGAGTGAGCCGAAATAGCGCCACTGGCACTCCAACCTGAGCAACAGAGCAAGACTCTGTCTCAAAAAACAAACAAACAAACAAACAAAAAACAGCCAGGCACAGGGGCCCACACCCGTAATCCCAGCATTTTGGGAAGCTGAGGTGGGTGGATCACTTGCAGTCAGGAGTTCAAGACCAGCCTTGCCAACATGGTGGAACCCCCTCTACTAAAAATACAAAAAAAGTAGCCAGGTGTAGTAGTGACACCTGTAAACCCAGATACTTGGGAGGCTGAAGCAGGAGAACTGCTTAAACCTGGGAGGCAGAGGTTGCAGTGAGCTGAGACCGTGCCACTGTACTCCAACCTGGGCAATAAGAATGAAACTTTGTCTCAAAATAAAAAAATAAGTAACCGGGCCAATCTCAGAAAACACCTACCCCCACTCTGGGTATCCCAAGGCAGCAACTGCCTCCCCACATAAAACCCTGGAGGAATTCCAGCTCAACTGAACTACTTTGGACATTACTTTTCCCCACTTTACTGGTGTGCAAAGTAGAAATGCAGGGTTAATAAAAAATGCTTCAGACAAGTGCCTGAAGCAGCAGAAGTAATAACTTACAGGTTGAATTGGTTCTGACTGTTTCTCAAGTTTCATTTAAATACAGAGGCATGGGTGATGTAATGACCATCGCCAAAAAGCTGCTCAGGAGTTCCTGCAGGCTGCCTGCCTTGGGGCTGCCAGGGAAAGGTATCCGCCCCTCAGTGGTTCTCCATGCAGCTGTGCTTCAGTCGCCTAAAGAACCTTCAAAACATGTAGACAGCATCTCTGGTCCCATTCCATACATTCTGATATAACCAACTGGGGCAGCCAAGAGTTTTCAAAAGGGTGCCCTGCAGTTCTGCTGCAGAGCCGCAGCTGGGATGCACTCACAGGGCTGGGGCGGAGTCTCTCGTCTCAAGGTGGCTTGAGAATCAGGGATCCCCTGACCCGTGCAGCCAGCTGCCATCTCTGCAAAGGTCTGGCTTGGAGAGCGGGACTGAGCTCTTGCTTCTCCAGGAATAAGGGGCTGGACCTGCAGCCTCTAGAACTTGGCTCTGAACCACTGGCTCAGATCAGCAATCAGAGATGTACTTTGAGTGGTAATGGTAGTCACTGTCTTTCACAGTGACTCACTGAAAGGATGATCCTTTGTTGGAGGGGCACTAACAGGCTATTTGGCACTTAAAACAGCAAGGGATGGGCATTACCCATTTCCCTCAACCACCTGTATGAGCCACACCCTTACTCGCTATGTAGTGCACATAGATCTGCCCAGAACACCGCAGAGCCACCAGATGGGCACCCAGGCCAGACCGAGCTCTTCTGAGGGACTGGGGCGGCTCAAGGGCTCTGCTGCCACTTAAGGAGACCAGTAGGGTGTCAGGAGCAACTACATTCTTCTTTGTTAATTATAAATGGGCCCTCACCACCCACTCCCAAAGGCTTCTTTTTCCCATGCCAACATGAGGCCTGGGGAAGCACTGAAGGCCAAGTCAGTCCAGAGCTGAAATACTGTCGGGATTTGCCATCAGCCCAGCATCCCCAGAAGCACATGCCCTCAGCCTGCTCAACCCTGCAAAGCAGACACAGGCCATTCCCACATGTGACCTCCTGTCAAATGCTGTGGGGGACAAGCCTGTGTGGGTGTCAACGAATGGGAGGACAAAGGTGGGGGCAACGAGG